ACCTTTTCTGTCAAGCTACTCCAAAACCAAAATCTTGGTTTCCTGCTTGGCAATCAAATTAAAAAATCAAAGTAAGAAGAGACTTCCTTCCTTTTCCCTTTGGTATTTTTCCACCATATTGACAACTGCATTTGACAAACAACATTAAGTAAACTTCAAGACTGTATCAGCTACCTGTTCTTAATAATGAGGGGGAAATCAGGCAAGTCAGACCAAGACATGACTGGTTGGGAATCAAAACAAAATTGACAGTCTTATCAAAAACCATCCACAGCTCTGTATTCTCTCTCGGCTGCTGGGTGTTGCGTTCAGTCCACTGATTAATGTGTCGCTGCTTAACACACAGGCTGCTGGGCTGTGACACGTGCAGGGAGGCAGTTTACTGTCTCTGTGCAGCCCTGAGGCCTGACTTGGTGCCTGTACAGGACGGAGCTGCTCCGATGGGAGGAGGCGGCTGGAGCTGGATGGAGCAGGCTTCTCTGTGCTGGCTCCAGCTACACGCCTGCAATAGTTTGAGGTAACCCTGGATCTCTGGCATTGTTGACTCTGGTTATCAGCGACCTTGTTGGGTAATAAGGATGTGCAGCAATAACTGCATTTACCTTCAGGTTAAAAGAGCTGGTGCTATTCTCCACCCAGAACAGTAATGGGAAGGTTTAGTGATAGAGTGAAACCAAACGTTGGTACAGTTTCAGTCTCATCTGACCTGGGGTGAATGGTTCATGGCCTTGCCAAGGCTGCCCCATGGCAGCACTTCCCAGCTGCTGCTAATCACCATGGTGACTGATTGGGATCAGTTCCCCAAGCAGGCATTTTGCTTTTACAGTAACTTCCATAAGCCTGAGAGAGACGCCTCATGCTCTCATACCTCAGTGGTAATAATTCAATGCACAATAAAGAAAAGGATAAATCTACAAATGGGCTGCCAGGCATTTTCTTTTATCAGTGTACAAAATTCTTCAAAGGTAACAGTATCTGTTGGGGGCCCCACAGCTGGACACAGACATGACCTGGAGTATTGTGTCCAGCTCTGGAATCCCCAGTACAAGAAAGACCTGGAACTGTTGGAATGAGTCTAAAGGAGGGCCATTAAGTTGATCACAGGGCTGAAACACCTGTCCTGTGAAGACAAGTTGAGTTGGGGCTGTTCAGCCTGGAAAAGAGAAGGCTCCAGGAAGACCTTATAACACCTTCCAGTACCTCAAAGGGGGCCTACAGTGATGCTGGAGAGGGACTTTTCACAGGGTCATGTAGTGATAGGACAAAGGGGAATGGCCTTAAGCTGTAAAGGGCAGGTTTAGGTCACATATTAGGAAGAAGTTGTGTACTGTAAGGGTGGTGAGACACTGGAACAGATTGCCCAAAGTTATGGCTGCCACATCCCTGGAAGTGTTCAAGGCCTGGCTGGATGGCACTCTAAGTAACCTGGTCTAGTGGAATATTCCAATTCCCTGCCCACAGAAGGGGGTTTGGAACTAGATGATCTTTAAGGTCCCTTCCAACCCCAACCCCTTGATGATTCTGTGAACACTAATTAGGAAATAGCAAGATGCAGCAAGTCTGCAGTAATGTACAGTATATTATAATGTCTTAAGTGACATGAGACACATGAAATGAGATACCTGTGGCCTTTCTAACACAGGAAAAATACTACTAAATGTAGCTGTGAATGCAGTTTTTCACAGACTCCAAGGAATAGTTGGTAGATGGATGTTTGGAAGTAGGCATTTTTCATTATAATCCCATGTTTGAAATATGCTGACTTTAGAAATATATCATAAAATTAGTTTCAGGAGAATAAACCTAGCAGAGATAATAGATGCTTGTTTCCTTTATTGGAATCCCTCAATTATGAAAATGTGACAAATAGGTAATACCTCTAGGTTGACTTGAATTAACATATGTTTAAAATGAATGTAAAATATGTCCCTTTCTCAGTTAGACAAAAATCACACAGTACAGGTACTCAAACACTAAAATACATCTCTGGCTTTGAAATTATTGTTGTCTTTCTACAGCAGCTTCTTGAAAATGTCATGTGAGATTAGATCTGTACTCTGTTGTGTTGGTAAGCGTAAAAACCCCCTCCAAAGGGCGGTCTTTGTTCCAAGAGCTCAGGCAAGGTTTTCAAAGACAACTGCTCATTTGTGATACCTTTTATAAAGATCTTACTTTCAGAAAGAACTGGATATGTACTGTTAGAAGACCAGAGTCCTCAGAGGAGTCTCCAGCTGGGCACCCAAAATTATATAGGTAACGAGGAAGAATAAGCGCTTCTAAAATGCTGTCCTCAAAAGACAAAGTGAGAAGAGTAGAAACAGGATAGATGACCACTAAATCCTCAGTTTGCTTGCTCTAAATAAAAAGCCTGACAGAATTGCTACTATTCCCTTGCTCAGTGTTGCCAGTTGTATCCAGACACCTCTGCTACGTGTCCTGCATGGCTCAAAGTGGTTGTGTTCCCTCTGCAGTGTGGACAGAGCTCAAGTTGGGATCGTCCCATTTCTCCTCATTCACGAGTTTCTATCTGAAGGGCCAGCTGACTCATTTCAAACTTAAGTACAAGTACAAGCTGATGGCTGAGACAATGTGGATGATTGGAGAATTTCAGCGTGAGTGCAATCCTGAGGCCTGACCTGATATAATGAGCCAGTTCACCCATTTTATTTTAGTCTTGCAACTCTGTGGCTAGGGAAGGTATTTTCCATCACTTGGGAGAGCTTTTCAAATTTTCCCTTCTTTGCAGTAGATAAGCTCAAAAAAAGTCCTGTTTTTCCTTTGTGAGACGGATCTCTGTTGATGCTACACAGATAGGAGACATCCTGTAGTTCACCTGGAATCAAACAAATTTGAGATGAGGTACCAGTTTGCTTCTCTCCAAGTTTAAAACCTCCCCACAGATTTTCCCTTTACCTTCAAACCTGCTTAATGTCACCATTGCTTTCTTTTCTGTCCTGAAGGACACAGTCAGTTGTCTGTCTAGACTACCTGAAGGCTCAAAACCTTTGCTTTATTCCGTAGAATTAAACGGTTGCTTGGTCCCAAATGTGAGTCTTTGTCAGATACCTACTGACATGGGTATCTCATGTAGAAAGTGGCAGTAGAGAACCTGGAGATTAAAAGCAAAGCAGCTATAAAAACAGAAATGAAGAATAGCACTGTAATCAGGTAAATATGCCCACATAAGGAGGGAAATAACTGAGCAGACTGGTTGTTATTGCTCCTCTATTTCATAGGGGATATTTACACTGAGGGGTCAAGTGTTCATGGCAAGGTGTGGGTGGGTTTTTTTAGTCTTATGCAACACCTACTGATTTGTCATCCCATCCTTTGCCTGCTTGATCAGACCTTCATGTCCATTGCTACAAGAGTTTGGGGTTGGGAGAAGCAAATATGGGCAAAGTGACAGCTTGGCAGAGCCAGTCAGCCCACACTGCACAGAGAAGAGCCCACCAGGCATGATTTTGAAGGAGTGAGAAGCAGAAATCCACTGCCAGCCTGAGTTTCAGCTGATGTGAATGCTGCCTTGGCAGCATCAGTATCCCATTAGCTTCACAATTTGGAATCTGTCCCAAAAACCAGCTCTTCCCACACATACAGACACATACTTTCAAGAAAAAAGCAGGATATCGCTGGAAAGGGTGCAAAACCCACCCTGGTGAGTCCCATCCCAGCACTGCCCTGGGCAGAGATGGGGTCCATGAAACTGGTGATGGGCGAGGGCTGTGTAAGAAACAAAGCTGCGTCCCAGAACATTTTAGTGGTGGACTTGGCAGTGCTGGGTTAAGGGTTGGACTTGATAATTGTGAAGGTCTTTTCCAACATAAATGATTCCATGATTCTATGAAATAACATGGTGAACTTGTCTCTGCATGGCTCCTTGGCCCCAGAGGCCTGAGCCTGTGATGGGTTTACATGCATTTACGTGCTACGGAGTGAATAAACAACTGAATGTGCTTCAGCCTGAGCAGTCCTGCATGGGCACTTGTCTCCTGTTCAGAGAGGCAGAAGGGGGAGCACAAATCCCCATCAGAAAAAATGTACAATCATAAAAATATTTAGGTTGGGAGAGGCTTCAGGAGATGGTTTCAGTCAACTGTCCTCAGAGCAGGGCCACGTTAGGTTGTGTAGGGCCTCATCTGGTTGAGTTGCAAATATCTCCATAGGTGGAGGTCCCACAGCCTAGTCAGGTAACTTGTTCCAAAATTTAACCACTCTTACTAGGATGATTTTTTTCCTTGCATCTGACTGGAATCTCTCTTGTTGCATCTTATGTCCATTGCTTCTTGTCCTTTTGCTGTACTCCTCAAAGAAAAGTTTGAGTGAAGAGGAGGAGAAATTACAAGTAACCTCCACATTCTCTTCCTTTATGGTGTGATCATGTTACACCTTTGCAAGGGCTTTCAGCACAGAATAGCAGCCACCAACATTGAATGTACTGAACTGCTTTTAGCAGAGAAAAAAGAAACTCTCTGCAACCCCCCTCATTATCTTATGGGTTCTGAAGGGAGGAAGGATGTGGGTGAGCTGTTTTCACATCCTGTACACACCAATGGCCAATTCTCACCATCCTGGCCAGCAGAAATGGTCAGGGAATATTAAATCCTACTTGGGCATTTGGCAGAGCCTTTCCAGCATTTGGCTATCGAGCCTTCAGTAGTTAATGCAAATCCAGCCAAACAGAAGAGCCTGCTCTCTGGGACTCGGACTACAGGAAGAGTAAGCAGTGCTTTCACATGAGGCAATAAAATTCAAGTAGGATTTGTTAAATCATGCAAATGATTGCTAGTGTGCACTTTATATTTATCTAAAAAATTGATTAAGCACTGAGTTTTTTGTTTGGTGAGTAAAGTTGATTAAAAAAAAGTACTAGGGTCACAATATATATTCTAGGAGTACATTTACTAAGCTCAAACCTGACTTTTTTAATTTTTGGTGAAATATATGATAATGTTCTATACTCACTATCTGGTTTTGAATTCCTCTTTTGTTTCTTGCAGCCCCAGCAGAGAGCTCTCCATAAACATTTCCAGCCTCTAAAGCTGCTGTCCTGCCACTTGATATGAAAGTGAACTTTCCTTCATGAAAAAAACACAATAAATGGCGCTGCCAGAAAATGACCATGGAGGATTGAAGACAAACTTGAAGTAAAATCATCAGACTGAGATGATGCATTCTGGGAAGACCTGGTTTGCTGTGGAGTAAAAACGTGGTGCAAAATATCCAGTGCTAATTTGCTGAAAATGGTCATTTACAGACCTTTAGCTGGAAAATTTCTTCCAGTTTTCATCACTGTGCATAACTTTTGAGTTCCCTTTAGGGGACTGTCTATGCCCTTCACTAGAAGTCCTGTTTTAGCATGGCAACTACTGGATTCTTTTATTATGTATGCAGATGGCATGATGTTTTAGGAAAAACTTACAGCAATTCTCCAATCTCAGTGGATATGTTCACAATATTACACCCTGATAGGAATGTAAACGTCTTGTATGTGTTAGTTTTGCAGTCTAATGGTATTCTGTTAAACAATATCAGCACTTCATATGTGCTTTCCTCACAGAACTAGCACAGTCCATATATATATATAATGGTCTTTTTTTAAAATACTGAGGATATGTTTCAGTATTTGTGCTGAGACTGCATCCAGACTGAAGCCCACTACTATCATCCCTTCACCAATTCACATTAGATTGTGTAGATAGATTTGCACGTGGCAGAGATGTGACTTCTTTTATCAAGACTTAGAGAACAGCTGTCACAGAGGTAGCCAAGAACAGGGTAGGTTGACTGAGCTGTAGGACACTGTGTCTGCTCTCCCTCTAATCCACCACATATCGAAAGTTCTCATTTCTAGTGTGCCAATGTGTTTTCTTACACAGAGAGGGAGAGGCAAGGGAGAGAGCCTTTCTCAGAAATGTGTGTGACCCTGGATTTGGTCTACAGTAAAAACAGAATAAACTGGAAGAATTCAGGTTCTTTATGCTGGCCACCATTTATGTTTTGGGCAGGGCTGGGGAATCATAGTCCAAACCAAACTCTCTGAAAAAGGTAAAGTGTAAGATTATACTTCTGAGGAGCAAGACACTCCCTTTGGAGAGGGCAGACTTCTTCATTAACTTTTTCCACTTTCTATCCAAAACAGTATTTTGGTAGGAACTGGGAATAAGCAAATGGTTCCAATAAGCCTTTCAATATACTGTAGCAGGCTCAAGACTGTTACATTCAATCTGAACATTGTTTTCTGTTCAGTCTCTGAATGGCTGGCCTCATCACTGGTTGTATCACAGCTGGCTGTGGTACTGTTTCTTCAATGGGGACTCAGTTGAATTAATGTCTGTCCCTCACATCAGGACCTTCGTGACATATTCTTTATAATGAACTGATGTCATCAGCATACTGAGGGGGCTTATCTATTTGTTCCTTCTTTCTTTGAAATCAAAAGTAGCTTTATTTAAAGACTGTCACTCTCTCCAGCCTGATAGACAGGTACTATGCTGTTAACATTTATTCCAAATTGGGTGAGACACAATACTGGTGTGAAGATGCAGTGATGGAGAGAGTGTGCAGCTAGAGTAAATCAAAGGCAACTTTCTAGAGGAAGCTCCTGTGTTAAAATTCTTAAAAACTGTTGTGCAGTTCATTGCTAGAGAATGGAAGGTCAACCACTGAGGATGCCTGTACAACAAACAGATAATTATCTTCAGGGTTTAATTTTTTTCAGATGGTTATGGTCTTAGGTTTCAGCTCTCCACCCATCTCAGATTCAGCATGTTGGATACTTCTACAGTATTCAGTCCAAAAGAAAATTATTTTTACTGATGACCAGGATTTTCAGAAGTCAATAGTGATTTCTAATGGTTTGGGTCTTTCCAAATAGAGCTCCCAAGAATTAAAAAGCAGTAAACTTCTACATTCTCTTTCTGAAAATCCTAGTCCCTAATTTTAAATTAATTGGTGTAAAAATTCTCCTTAAGACATGAGAATCTTTGCCAACAGCGACATTTGCACTTTTTAGAACTTTTCATAGGGTTGCAGGTTGGAATCTGATACCAATAGAGCCTGTCTTGCACATGGCACAGGTCCACTGTAAGCTTCAGCGAATTTTACAGCTCTTTCTGCTACAGGTTTTAAAAATGCACTCTGGCAACTGACATCAATTTCATGTTGGTACAGCAATTAAAAAATAAAACACTTTGATTGATATGTTATATTAAAAGGAGAATGCTTTACTTCCACAGTAGGAATTCTCTTATTTTACTACCCAGTGAAAAAATCCAGAATAATTAGAATGATAAAAGAAGAGTTTATCAGAGAGTGTTATCTTAAAAGGGCGTATGAGAAGAAGTTACGTTAGGCAGAGAGCCACTAGAAGCTTTTTTTGTATCAATGTTAGTTTTGAACATCTTCCAGTATATGGGCATGAATTTAGATGTGTGCACTTCTCCTGTTAAAACAGTTTGTTTTAAAAGCTTCCCAGGATTTTAGCTATGGTGACCTAGAAAAGCAGTGTTATAGGCCCTGAGAAATGTGAAAATGAAGTCCAGATCCTTGAGTAGCCAGACTCGGTGAGAAGTCTGCTGTAGGTGCCTATCGGACAAATCTTTTTTGAAGCTGGTGTAGGTCTCCATCCTGCAGCCAGCCTATGCATGTGGATAACTGCAAGCATAGTTCCCCCGAGCCCCGTGACACTTCTCACGTGTGTAACTGTCTGCCAGAGCCATAAGGAAATAACTGTACTTTTTGGCTTGTATTTAAGTATTCATTGTGTTTGGATTTTTTTCATCACTGTTATTCTCCCAAAGTAGGCCATGCTTCCTCAGGGATATTTATGGAATTGTTCTACATCTCCTGAACAACTATCTGGATCCCAGCGTATTCTTCTGAAAACTTTTTAATATAAATAAACACGTGGGAGAGATTTTTGTTGTTATGAATGGGGGCAGGTACTGTGTTCTCGGAAAAGCTATTGAGTGCAGACAATCAAGTTATTGCATTTTTTATGCTGAACACCTTATTAATAGCAGACATATCCGCTTTTGCCTGGGTCATAGGAACAGTTCAGGGGAAAGAATGCTTTATCTCCAGTCAATAAATCATTTATGTCGAGAGTGCCAAAGACCAAGTCAACATGAAAGGGAGCAAATAAGTTATTCCGGCAAAGGAAGTCAATTTAAATATGTTCAGAGCCATTAGTTCGGTGCGAAAGAGTGGGAGACTAATGCTATTTTCATCAAGCAGCCATTATCAGCCCTGTGGAGATAGATAAATTCACAAAGGCCAATGCTGCTGTTACATTGATCACTAGTTATTATCTCTGAGACAAGGCAGTGCTGCCATCAGGACACTGTTCCCCTGTGCAGACCTGCAGCCTTCTCCTCTCCCTGGCGCCACACTTGCCTGGGTTTTTTTATGTCCAGAAAAGTTGCAGCATCAGACCCCACTATGAATCCCTGACAGAAGTGCAACCTTTCCAAGTGCTTCGAACCATGAGAAGTCCTCCACCAGAAACCTGAAGGAATTGCTCACTCCAGAAAGCACGCTGCAGCTGAAGGCATCCTTTGCACTGTTTTGTTCCTTGTTTTTTTTTATCTGTGTGGCTTTCTGTGCCTGAACACCCACTGTTTATTCTGTTAAGGAAAATGCAGTCTTCAAGGAGGGGAGTTTGAAAAAGCTCCTCAAGCTCTTTGATTTTGCTTGCCCAGATGCGTGGTAATGCTCTACCAGTAAGTTCATCCCTCCCTGTCTGTTCTTTAAGGGTAAGTGTTGTCGCTTGGCAACAGATGTAACGTTATTGAGGAAATTAAACCATTAAAAGTTATACAATTCTGCTTTGGTTTTGCCCTTAACTTTCAGAAGACTCCAGGCCAGGCCCCAGTGGACTCACATTGGTGCTACTCCATCAGTGTCTCCACAAATGTGTCTATCAGTGCCAGCCATGGATCCAGGACTGGGGTGGGTTTTTTTGTGATCACCAAAATGAACCTCCCTCCAGCAGCCACAAAGCCACAAAATCTGTGTTATTCAAAGTAAAGCAAAGTAAAACCCTGAATCTTTCACATTGTCCCCTTTAACAGTTGCCATCTCTGCCATCAGAGTCCCCTTGAACAGCCCCACTGCAGGACTGTGCTGCAATTGACCCTGGTATATATAGGCTGTGGTCAATAAGATTTTAATTTAAAAAGAGAAAGTCCTTTGGTATAATTAAAATTGATGGGTGAGGGAAAATTATTACCAGCATTACCTGCAACCTCCTATAGTAAAATTCAGGAAAGTAATCTGGAGTGCATAAAAAGCCACCAACATAATCTATGGGTGATTAGGCAGGCTCATGAGGATAAATCAGCAAGGAAGAAAAGTAGATGTTTAATGAAGGAAGCAAAAAAAAGTATGGGAAGTCAGTGGCAAATAGGTTAGGGTTGGTTAGACCAAAGGCTTTACACATATACTAATAAATACCATCATAGCAAAGCTAAGTCTGATGTTAGACAGGCCCAGCACAGTGATTGTTCACAGTACATTGAAAACCCAACAAATAGTCGTGTTTTGTATTTGAAAGCAGTAGAAGGAGGGAGTCAAATTACCCATTAAAATGTAATTCCTCCTATTCCATCAGTAATTATGGGTAATATTAAGCAGCAACTATCCAAACATAACTTTAAATTTGTAGAATCATTAGCTGAATCCAAAAGTGAAGGAAAACTTGACTAGGACTCTTCAGAACCAGAAAGCATAAAAGAAACTTCAAATGACACCAAAACCACAATAATTCAAAAGAATGAGAGGTTTGATCCAGAAAACTATAGGCTCATTAGCTTCCTATCAGTCTTAGGCAAAGTCATGGAAAAGCTGATATAGCATAATCATTAAAGCAATTAAAACTTGATAAAACCCCTTCCAAATTGAGAAGCATGGGGAGTATATCTGGAATGATACAGTGGCTGCAAAGATGCAGTAAGTAATCCATTCAACATCAGCCCCAGAGATGTTCTTGCCAGCTGGGATATAGGACCTGGCAATAGTGATGCTATTCCAGTTCATTTGGTTACTGTCAGTCTTTCAAAAAGGGTATTGACAACTTGGAAAGATTATTTTCAATAGCTCCCAGTGTCATTCAAGGGCAGGAAAACAGGTCTTATTATAGTGTCAGACTAATGAAGCTCAAGCTATTAATTTATCAGAGGCAATTTGAAGAGGTGACTTGATCTCTGTCTGCAATCACAATCTTCTACCTGGGCAGGGAAGTGCTGTCTGAGGGCAGGTACCTCTTCTGTTTAAAAGAAAAGGGAATGATGTGCTCTACTGGTTGGAAACTGATTTCAGGCTAGAAATTAAGTGCAAATACTCAACAGGGAGGATAATTACTCGTGGAGACAACTTACTTAGTTATCTGGCATGTTCTCCATCCCATAAAGTCTTTAAATGTATGCAAAGTATTTTTCTAAGTCAATAAGCTCTACCTCAAACTGAAATCCAGGCTCGGTGCAGCAATTACTGGATGAAGTCATTAGGCATATGTTATGCAAGGATTAGACTAGATCATCAGATGTAATTTATGAATTAAAAATACCTTGAAGTTTCCAATATTACAAGAAGGCAGGGCAACCTATATCAGGTTTTTGGGGTTTTTTTCACAAAATGGTCTTAATTTAAACAGCTTTTATGAAGAGCTGTGCTTGCTAACATTTGGTACGAGCATGAGTAGGTCTGCTCACAGTTTTAAGGTTCTGCTGCACATAATTAAAGGAAAAGAACTGGACAAGAAAGGACAACAGAATCCTTGGACACAGTGAGAAAGTCTGTTGCCTTTCATTAACAGCAGCCTGGGATAAAATGCTGCATGCAAATGATGGGGCCATGTGGATGTGTAGTCTGAGCAAGCAATAACATCTGTGGGTTTGCCTCTTAAGGAGGTAGGATCTTGCTGGCAAGAAACAGATTTTCCTGCCTTCAACGACTGGCAGAGAAGCTGCAGTGCTGATTGAGAGGGCGATTGTATCTCTGTGCAGCTGAGCATGGTACACAAGTTCCTTGCTTCAAACACAGCAAACTGTTCTGCTCTTATGACGAGTCCCATTGGAGCTGGTTAATAAAGCCCTGGAAGTGAAATGACATCAGTGGGATTACCCAGAGTAACGACAGCTGCTCCCAGCAGTGGGTTTTTTGCAAGATTGGACCCCATTACCATGAGCTGATTTGAATGTTGTACTTTAGAAATAAGCACTGGACTACTCAGTGTCTGATTCCGGTTTCACAAAACCGCTGTCAATAGGTGCAAATGTGAAACTCTGGAGCATCTTCCAAGTTCTTTACCAATCAGTGGGGAACAGCACGAACAGGGATGTGCAGTATGAAGAGTAAACAGTTCACACAAACAAGAGAAACTATAAAAGCAATACTTACTGCAGATTGGTATTGAATCAACATCAAGAAGCTAAAACAAGAATGAGCTAACTACAGCCATAGCTAAGAAGGTAAAGATCTTTGGGGATTCTTGCTCTAATCCAGTGTGAAATCCTAAGAAAATGAGTTTGGGCTAGATTTATTGTTTAAAGAACATCAGTACATACTTGCTCCCTGTCAAATAAATTCCGAAGAGTCACTGGCTTCGGTGTGTGATGGCTTATGAGTGTCCTCACACTGCTGAGACACTGTGCAGCTCTGGAGGGGAGCGTTCCATAACCAGCATGGCTGGGATACGGCTGGACAGGGAAGAAGCTGAACTTGCACATGAGTGGAATTGCCAGCATTATTATAACACAACCAGGCTTAGTCTGAGAATGAGATGGAAATCTCCTTTCTGATACTAATTCCAAATATATCTAAATAGTTTTTCAGAAGAAAAAATCCTCTGTAGCTTCTGTTACATCTCTAATCACATTCTTTCTGTTAAGTAACTTGCCTTGAATTTATCTATTTAAATATCATAAGTCACTAAATTAAATAGCAAAACACGGGGTTTTCTTTTTAAAGCAGGGAGATTGGTATTGCAGCAAAACAGCTTGTAAGCTATTAGAAGCTGTGCAGGGGAGGAAACAACCCAACAATTTGTCCCATCAGATGCTTAGGGGACTTGACTGGTTGATTGACTTTGTTTCAATATTGAGAGCAAGGTTTTACATCTAGACAGAGGTTTTCCTTACTGAACCAGACTTTGGTAAAGTAATGTTGGAAGTCCTCTTAGGACTTCTTCTGCAGCCCTTGTATTCAAGAGGCTCCTTCTCTGTGCTTCTTTTGAGAAAGGTAGAAAAGAGATTAAGTGACAGTAGAGAAAACACAGAGGGACAGGAGCTTCCAGCCTGTGCAAAGCACCTCAGCATGAGACCCAGTCTCAGCCTTCTGCCTTGACTCCAACACTGCTGATGGAGGGGAGGAATGAGGCCATGCTGGGCTAACCTGCGAGTGCAGCCTGGTGTCCTTTTCCACGCTGCTCTCTTGCAGCCATTGCAGGAGCCATTACCTGGCAGAACTGGACAATGCTCTGGCAATGGGAATGACCAGCATTTCCACAAAGAGGCTGCATGCTCTGACGAGAAGACTCTGAGCTGCTTGTCAAGGCTAAAGAGGCATATTTTTAAATTTTTCAGAGTTATTGCAGAATCTGAAAGTATCAGGGCCATGCTTTGGGATGTGCTGGGCTTTGTTTTCAGCTTTGCAGCTATCTGGACCTACCCCACAATTATTATTTCTTTTTCACAAGTGGGACTAAGATGTGAGGAGTGCCTGCCTGGCTCTGTGCCAGCAAATGGGGCTCTAAATTTGGGGTACTCTGTTTTGGAGAGTTGAATTTAAGGTGGTTTGAACGTGACCCTGAGGAAAGCAGGTAACTGACAGCTGGAATTGAGGCTACACCTGAGTTGTCTCCAAAGGTTGCCCTCAAATGAGCAGCCCATGGACAGAATCAGATGCCAGGCTGTGCTGGTGCATCAGCATCGGCCACTGATGATGGACATGAGCTGCAGGGAACAAGTGATGCTGGGATCAAGGTCCTGGGAAACCTGATCCAGGACAGCTGGATGCAGAAGGCTTACTGCAAGCCCATGGTTATGCTGTCTGGTCAAAACAGTCTCCTGAAGCCAGCAAGTTGTGTCTGGTCCTGCTGCCTTTGGAGTCAGTTCTGGTTTACTTTCACTAAAGAAATATTCTAAGCCAGTGAACTCCTTTTAATGTTAACTTGGTTGATAATCTAGGAAGATGCCAGCACTCTAATGGTTAAGAAGTGACACACTGTTACTCCCAGTACATCTATGGCTGAACTTTTTAATGATGGAGCCAAATGAGGTGGCATGAAACAAAAGTGTGCCTTTTTGTTTGATGTACTCTGCATTTCCCTAGGCATCCAAGGTGTTCACCTGCACAGCAGTGCTTTTTTCCGAAAACAGAAATTATCATGCAATCTAATTTTTAGTATATGAAGTGGCCATCACTGTTAATTCCACCTTACAGTTTTTATATTTAGTCTTTAATTCCTTCTGTTTTCAACAATCAACAAAAAATAAAACCCGGGTGGGAGGGAGGAATTCTTTTAAACAATAAAATTAAAATCAATATAAAAGTTTTTGGTATCTTTGGGCAGAATCTCTGGAAGCTTTGGGTATCTGCTTTATCATTTTGTATATTTGACAATTTTGTACTCTGCATTGTTTGACTTCATTTGTGCATGGCGATGTATTAAAACATGGAATTTTTATTATACAGTAAAAGCACTTTGTTTGATTTAAACAAGGTCAGGGATTGGTCCAATTCATGAACAGGAGGGGAAAAAAAACCAGAGGTTTTTGCCAGCAACAACTCTCACCTGACAGTCCAACCAGTCTCATTCGGGCAGTTTCCAGCACCTGAAGGTGGGCAGATTTTTTTGCCCACCTTCAAGTCTCCTTCCCCAGCTGCAGTTCTTGGGTCTATGCAGTGGTTTGTAGTATGGGGTGCAGGTGCTATCTAAATGCAGCACAAGACAGATATTACAGAAGTTGTTAACCAAGCAAAGGGCTCTGCTCTGCTGGGCATGGGTTGAGTGTACATCCAGACCAGTTCTACTGATCTTGCCTGATTTACCCCGCATTTAGTAATGGCAAGCAGACACTGCACAGGGTGAGGAAGAACCCTTCACTGCCTTTATTTCATGACACTCAGGGAATGCCCTTGTCAGCAGTGAAGCATCCTCTAAGGGGACCAAACTGCCAAAGGAGCAGGTACTAGACTGTTTATGGTGCAAAGCATTTCACTTCCATCCCACCTGCCCCCATTTATTCTTGGCATTTGTGGCATGTGAGTGATTTAAAAGTCAGTGGATTAGGTAGTTTTTGGAAAAATGCTGAAGTGCTGCAATTCCAGCATGATATTATGCTCTCCATATATGTGGGTTTTTTCTTTTCAGACATAATTCTGAATGCTCTTGCATTTGTAAGGCAGAGACTGATGACATGTTTTGGTCAAACACAAAATACTGGACTTAATACAAAATAACAGAACAAAATTATATAGTGTGAGCTATAACTGACAAAGTCAAGATAAATTGTCATCTTAAAAAATCATAAATCATGTTTTTTATTGTGGTGGGGCTGCAATTTACTGAATTCTGTTTATATCTTTAAAAAGCTTTCTACTTCATAAACTTTGTCAGCGAGAAGAATATGTTAGCAGAGAAAACTCTGTTTTTGATCAGACCTGTGCACGTTACCTCTCAGGCTGAAGAAAATTAGAACCGTCATACAAGAAAAGAAAAAGTTGCTATGTCACATACCCTTTTCACCATCAGGGTCTCCGTAGGGGTTACAGTGGCACCATACTATTATTACACCTCTGTGTGCTGCACACTAAGATTATTTCCATTATAAACAATATGCCACCTTAATCAGATGCAATATTCCTCCCTGGAGACAGAGAAAATAGTTACTGAAGCTGTGGAGGAGTTTCCATGTGTGCTTGTATGGGTTTTGCATTACAGATCTCAGTGAATAAAGTGCAACCCTAGAAACACAAGTGATGTTCACAGTCCCACCGTTGATCTGGTGTATGTGAAAGAACAAGTTCCCTCACATTGTCTCTTCATGTCCCACCTCCTTATCTGTAAAACTGGAACTACATTTACCTGTCACTGTTAAACCTTGAAACGCAACAGAGGAACTGTAAGTCTTCCGAGAAGATTGTGTTTCAAGTCGGATTGATTTGAACAGACCAGACACTTTGGTGCAAAAGAGACACCTTATTTGGGAGACAAGAAGATGCCATCCACGGCTCGTGCTTATCTGACATTCCTCTCTCACTGCACCCAGGCACTGATCTGTCAGAGTCTCAGTGCACGGTGTGACACTCTTACGGGTGAGGTATCGTATCATCCCAATGTTGGTTTGTCTGAGGTCTCTTCCTCTTTTGTGCACTCCTTCATCTCATTCACATCACTGCCTTGTCATTTCTGCACCTGACATGATTTCTTGCCTTCTACTGTTATTAGCATCACATGGGAAATACACTGAATTACTGCACGTGAAAAACACACTGCCAAATAAAAGTTTTCTTTAAAATAAATGGCACCAGGGCACTGCTCTTAGGAGATAAAGCAGAGGACAGATTGCTACAGGTTTCTTTTAGCGTTTCATGGGGATTAACCTCATCTCCACATCAGTGTTGGAGTGAGAGACTGAAATGGTAGCAAGAAGGATGCACACTGTACGCTAGAAAAAGCTTTCTAGGAAGAGGGATACTTAAGCAGTAGCAACTACTTAAAGAGGTGGAGAACAGCTTTGATCAGCATCACTCAGCAATCCTGACTCTGTGGGAGGGCAGGAGGACAGACCTGTTGTTTACCAAAATCTCTTAGTTCAATTTCCTGCAGGTAAGACTTGAACAGGAAGCAAAGAGTCAATTATCATCACTTTACATTTCAAGTTCAAAAAGGGAAAGTGCCGGATGCTGCATCTGGGATGGAGCAACCCTGGATGTTCATTGTCTCGATTTGAGACAATTTGGAGGGGCGGAGACCTGGGACAGAAGTCTCCTCCCTCAGATTGAATGCGCCTGGTTTCTCCAATACAGAGAGGGAGACCAAATACACCCAGATGTAAGTGAAAAAAATAACTCTTTACCAAGAAGAATGCTGATAACAATACTGATAAAACTGGGTTAAACCAACTGATGAGGAGAAGCCCTGCCTACCAGACCCAATCAAGATGGCAGCTGGCCTTTTCCACTGAGACAAAACACACGTGGCCACAGGACAGAGACAAGATGGCCACTTTCCCACATGGTTCACCTCCCCCATGCCTGGAGGACCTGACTGTCAACGTGGTGGTCACAGTCCAGATCCATTGAGGTGGTGGCGGAAGCCCCATCTGGTAAGAAAAGTCCCGTGGGGTACAGGAAGAACAACCCACATGAAGTAGTGTTGGTGAAGTCCAGGTGTTGGTGAAGTCCAAGTGTGGCTTCGGCTTGGTGGGAATGCCCCCAGTACCTCCCTTGGGGTGGGGATTTCTACACTGGATGATGTAATATTGGATCATGGCACGTTTCAGGAGTCTGAAGATGTCTTCTAAGATGTTATAGCTGCCTGTTACATCTACACAGGTGGATCCATTACAGCCCATCAGCAGAGATTAATATCTTCAGGCCATGTGTGTGAATTGAACTGGTTCTTCTCTGGAGGGGAGTTATCACAGCTGAGTCATTTGTGTAAGGACAGGATTTGCCTTTCTCCTTATCTTGTTCCAACACCCAGCTTGTAGCCTGAGGTGGCAGGTGTGCACGCCCTCAGCACGTGGGTGGCCACTCTGCACATTGTTAGCAAAGCTCACTGTTGCTGATTGAGCCTTTAGCACCAGTAGTCCAGGCTCTAACAGCAGGTGGTCAAATGTTTGAGTCATTAATCACTAGCAGTTCAGTTTCTTTAGAAAGACAAAACAACAAAAAGCCAAAAAGACATATTTGGAAAAAAAAGGGAAGGTGGATACCAGAATTTTTGTATAACCCACGTCATTCATCATTCGTACAGACCAAGGAGCAAGAGGATGGAGAGCAGAGCTCCGGAAAGCTCCGGCAAGTTGAATATGAGTCAGCAGTGCCCTGGCAGCCAGGAGGGCCTGGCTGCCAGGCCCTGGGGGGCATCAGGGGGGCATCCTGGGGGGCATCAGGCAAAGCAGCATCGAGGTCGAGGGAGGGGATTGTCCCGCTCTGCTCTGCACTGGTGCAGCCTCATCTTGAATATTGTGTGCAGTGTTGGGAATCACAATATAAGAAAGATATTAAGCTGTTAAACAGTGTCCAAAGGAGGGCAGTGAAGATGGTGAAGGGACTTGAGGGGAAGCCGTATGAGGAGCAGCTGAGGGCATCTGGTCTGTTCAGCCTGGAGAAGAGGAGACTGAGGGGAAACCTCATTGCAGTTACAACTTCCTCATGAAGGGAAGAGGAGGGGCAGACACTGATCTCTTCTCTGCGGTGACCAGTGACAGGACCTGAAGGAAGGGCCTGAAGTTGTGTCAGGGGAGGTTTAGGTTGGATATTATAAAAAGGTTCTTCATCTAGGCAGTGGTTGGGCACTGGAACAGGCTCCCCAGGGAGGTCACAGAACCAAGGCTGACAAAGTTCAAGAAGCATTTGGACAATACTCTCAGGCACATGGAGTGACTCTTGGGGAGAGTCCTGTGCAGGGCCAGGAGCTGGACTCCATGATCCTTGTGGGTCCCTTCCAACTTGGCATATTCTGTGAATTTAGCTCCTCTTTTTCTAGCTCTTCGAGGTAAAAACCTGCTCTTCTGCAGCTGTGAGTAAACCCAGACTCATTTAAGTCAGTACGTCTGGCTATCAGCTGAGAAACTGGAATATGTCCCCTGCTGTGGCCAGTCCAGATGCAGAGCCAGAGCCCAGGGTGACAGAAGGGTTCAGGCCCACCTTCTCATCCAAAATCACCACACTTAGCGAGAGCCCAATTCCCATGCTGTACAGTGACAAACAGCAGCAGTTAGTGAGACTGAAGAACACAAAATGGGTGGTGCCCTTCAGGGCCAGGGTCAGCCCATCTCCGACATCCAGGCTTTCATCTGGTCTTTACTAGGTACCAGCAGGGTATTAGGGCTTGGTGGAGAAAAGCCTTGGAATGAGGGTTAAAACAACAAAAGTCATATTGAGCCCAATTATGAGTTGAAGAGAGGCAGCATTTTATAGCCAGCTGGCAGAAGCCTCGAGAGCTTCATCCATCCATTACAGAGGGCAGGCTGACATGGCCACCTCTGGCCTCCACCAACAGCTCTAGGCAAATTAGGAAAACTGCTTTTCCTACGCTGAGGAGTTTTACTGCAGAGAAGTGAAGCACTTTAGGTCACATCATAAGTCTCAGCTTGAAGACTCTGCTCTGACACTTTCCAGGCGAAGTGGGAGAGCGTGGTTGGTGCTGAGTGCCGGATGCTCAGCCCGAGGGGTGCTTTGACTCTCCTCCATGCTGTGAAATGGGCAGAGACACAGACCATGTGGGAGGCAAATTGTTTTATGGAAAATATGGGGAACCATTGTACTAAGCTGATTAACTCATTTTAACAATTTTATTTAGCTGCAAGAGTTGCCCCACATGAAAAGTGCAGCTGCAAGCATTTGCACAAGAAAACGCTCCCATATGCAGGAAAGACAGATAAGCCTGTCGTCATTACAGCAAGAAATTTTAGTACTTTGGGGACATTGCAGGGTTATTTTTGCCTCTGTTTAAGTTTTACCTCAG